TTTCCTTAAGTTACCAAAAGTCAAATTTTGGGAATTACTTTCAGCTACAAAGCCATGGGGTCCGCACGACGTTTTTGCTAAGTTACTTTAATACGCCATCAATCGTTTGTCTCACGATTGTCGCATAGACAGTATCGCCCGCAACGTTTCGACTGCGTACTACAGGTCTTCGTCAGGCAATGGTATCGATTTACTGAGTAGAACTGTTAGTACTATTTGTAACCACAATGGCTGTTAGTGATTCAGGGGCACCCAACGAGCGTTTTCTGGGAAATATCTGTTCGGAGCCCTCTAGAATGGCTAAAATTTTCGAGAGCCCAAGAACAGCTAAAAATTTCGAGAATGTTTCGTGGTGACTGTTTGTTGGGCTCAGAGTTTCGGGATTTGTGTGGTTTGTTCACCTAAGAATTTCGGATTTTGTAGTAATCTCTAAAAAAATATAAATATCTGTTCGGAAGACGATTTGAGACCTAGAATTTTCGGAACATTTGTTGTAAAATTTCTTGCTTGCCTGCCTCTCCTAGGATTTTCGAACATCTACAAAATGGTATAATTAGTCATTTTTATCGGATTTTGACCCTAGAAAAGGCCACCTAGAATTTTCGGGAGCCTTTTCTTGGCTGAAATTTTCGGAAAGGTGAGTTTTTATCCCTATAATTTTCGATCACTAGATTTTCAGCTAGGAAATCCGAACGGATGAAAAGATTTTAGGGGATAGAAATATGCCTATATCTACCGTTTGAATACTAAAACACGTTCAACAATGCTATGTTAAGTGGTTTTGAACTATATCCTCGTTGGGTGCCCCTGTTCTCATTTCGGCACCTAGAAATTTCGTAGCTTTCGTAGTAATTTCGAGATTCTGATTTCGGCATAGCAAAATTTCTAAACCCGGCTGACAGCCTCATTAGCGAAAATTTCACACGACTGATTTAAAACCCAACGACCCTTTTCTGAGGGTACCAGGCTTACCGGTTACGCGAGCGCTACATCAGCGCGCGCATTGCTTGAATAGCGCTTGTCAGTCCTGTGTATCGGTCGATGGACACTCAGGACAGTATTGCAGCAGGACTACGGATGGAGGGATTACCCAGACAACGCTATTGTAGCATTGTTCTCGGCATCGCATGTGTCTGATCTACCGAATTTTAATAAAGTCACATTTCTGACATTTGCAGTTAGAGTCAACTGTGTAGAAAATGGGCAACTTTCAGCGTTTTTTTTTTTTATAACTGGTTTTTCTTTGCTCGCTCATCGCCACCTGAGGTGTGTGTAGGGAGGGGGGTGGGGGCGAGGAGCGAGGACAAACTACTGCTGGCAACTTAAATTTTTGGTTGTTCGGTGACCGTAATATGCAGGGTGATGAGTGGGTGATACAGACTCGTTATCTGGCGTTACATACAGGCTTTCTGGGGCTGGATTGGAGGTAATATATTCAGCTGGCAGCTGTGCCGTATACTCTACGTGGCCCTAGAAAATTCAAAGACATTCTCACACTAGATAAAGTTTTCGGAGAAAACTTGAGAGGATCCCTAAAAATTTCGGTCAAGGGAAAAGGTCGTCAGGTAATCTTACGTAACTTTCGGAAAGCTTTCACTGTAGGATGTTATTTTCGGGAAAGGCGAAAAACACCCCTAAAAAATTCGAGAGGTTCAAACCACTCCTAGGACGACCGAACAGATCATATTTTTTTAGCGATGCGAATTATTCATTTGTATTGCTTTTAAAACACTCCAGGATGCATAACGAGCCGTCTCAGATCATTTCCCAGAAAACGGTCGTTGGGTGCCCCTGGTGATTGGTGTATCACGAACCTCACTCAAAGTTTGTGGGCTTCGATCCAAAGCATTGTTGGAACTTTAGGATCGGGACTATTTCGCCGCAGAGCGAGCCGCGAAGACAGTGGAACATCGAAATTTTAGCTGGATCTTTGGCTAACATATAAATAGGGCGTTGCGAGAATTGTGGTGATTGCAAAGTCAGATTTTGCTTCATAAAGCCGGCGTTTTTGCTTGCGCAAAAGCTGAAGTTTTTAGCCATCTCAGTTCACTAGGTGTTCACACTTGTAATAACACAATCTCACCGTGCCTATTTGCCTCTTCCAATCGGTAGTTAAGTTATCCATAAACATTTACTATTTTAACTAAACGTGCTTTTATTCACAAATAAACAATCTTTTTTCACTTGCAAAAGGCATCACCTTAGAAAAACTGCCATCAATGCATGACTGTCTTCAGCTGCCGTTTATAAACTGCATGAGCTTGCAAGCCATAGAATTAATACGAAACTAGCAACAAATTGTCAGTTATCCTTCGCTTGTGAGTTCCAGCAGTGTGAAGTTTTATGAGTTTAATTTTCTTGAACGTAAACTCTAACTAACATATAGATTTAGCCAGGGCTAAAAGCGAAGCTCACACCCTAGATACTTATAAACATTTAATTATAACGTGTAACTGGGCTAAACGGCGACGGCAATGACGACGGCAACAAAATCAATAGATCTCATTGGCAAAAAAAATTAACAATAAATTTGCACGTGCAGCAATCATTTTGTACATTTCTTTGCCGTTGTTTTGCTCGATTAAAACGTGTGACTTCCTAGTCACACATGTTCTTGTGTTCCTGTTCGCTTTTATTTTTTCACTGCTGCTCATTTTCAGCTTGCTGGCCGCTAGCATTTCTCATTTTTCGCACCTCCGCCATGAAATTTTCATTTTTTTCTTCGAACAATTTTCATTTCCTATATTTTTTTAATCACTGTTCTAGCCCTTTATCCAACATCCTCGTGAGACATAAAAAAAACATGCAAAAATGAACAGCATATCGGATCTATAAAAGACATACTTTCCCAAAAATAAGTAATCATGATCAATTAACATTTAAACTGCAAAGGACCGCAAACAAATATGCCGCAAAACGTAGGATCTGTAAAAGACCTGACCAGCATAAAAACGCTGAGTAGACACAATGAATTCTGCAAAGCTCATCGTACTATGTGAAAATTAGCAAAGTTAATTTTCTCAATACGATCAGCTTTGCAGAATTCAGTGTGTCTACTTAGTGTTTTTTTGTTGGTCAGGTCTTTTATAGTTTAAATGTCAATTTATCAACAATAACGTCGAAAAAGACTCGACTTTGTTATTGTTTTTTCTCTCTAAAAGTCCGCCGGGTGGCCATGCGATTTCCCGCCCAAAACACCTCGAGTTACCTGTGGTGTCATACCTGTTAATTGAGTTATTTCTCATTGGTATGCCTGTAATGCGGACNATATTTACAGTATAGGCCATTATGAGGAGTTCAACCCCCCCCCCCCTCCCCCGAGGGGTGTCAACAGTGACAGACGTTCGATAACTTGTACGCGTGATGTGGACGCTGTGCCGGTCCACGCGGGGGCAGTCATTACGTTGGCCCTGATCCTATTCATGTATCAGTCAGACTACATTCAGAAATGGCCTCGTTACGGAATCTCTGAATGCCCTCAGGAACACATTGCTAACTTCAGCCACAACTTCCGTTGGGTATTTTCAGCGCTGTATTTCTGCTATCACGCCTAACCCCAGAGGGTTTTTATGAGTAGCCGGTGTCTCTCTGTTGCTTCAGTGCTTGTTTGTTCGTTTGTTTGTTTGTTTGTACTAACCTTTAACTGTTATTTTGATCCGCTTGAAGTCAGTCTTGCCAAAAGCCGTCAACACGCACTTGTACAGACCAGCATCTTCAATTTTAGCATTCGGGATCTTGAGGATAGCCTTCATGGCTTTGGTGGATTTATCTCTAACAAAAGTGACCATGTTGTCTGGAACAGGTACATCCCCTGTAATTGTTTGTTTTTTCCACTGTAACTTGGTGACTGAAACACCCTTTGATTCACATTTGACTTTTACCTCCTTGCCTTGTAGCACAGTTACTGATCTGCGTGGTCTCAGCCTGAAGTGGTCTGCCAACTGAGCTGCCGTGGAAAACGAAAACACGTTGATCTTACTATTTCATCATTATCGAACAGGATTTCCCCGAAGAAATTTTTACCCGTATTTTTCAGATCCTCGCCCTATTACTTTAGGGATTTACTAAGCTATGCCAATAAATGAAGATGAAATAAAATCAAAATGTTATTAAGAGATCAAATTTGGCAAAGGACGGTCAAAGAGATTTTATTTGAATTGCCGCGGGTGGTTCCAGAAAGGGATTAAACTCAAACATCGAGAGTGCTGTACGTGTGGCTGTTCTCCCTTAACATCATTCATTAGCTTTATTCCAAGGGTTTAGAAAAGGGATGAAGCCAGTTTGTTAATGGATGGTCGAAAGGGCTATACCTTTTTTGTCAAAATGGTAGAAGTAAATACAGCAGAACTTGGGTAACGGGTTTCACTTCGGGACGGAGCTTTCTCGTATTTAGGAACCCAATGCCTGCCAGTAAAAGCCCAGTTATTATTCAATGTGTAAAAACCTGACAAACCTACCTATAACTCTCACAGTTGTCAACCTATAATCTGATTTATCAGGTTCTACCATTACGGTGCATTTGTAGGAACCAGAGTCTGTTAATTGGGCATTAACAATCTCCAGAATAGCCTGCACTCTGTTGGTTAGCAGATCTTTGTTGATGGTGACTTTACTTTCGGGTACAACCGAAAATGATCCTTTATTCACTTTCTTTTCCCACTTTAGAGTAGCATCTGCAGCACCATCACATTCACAAGTTACTCTGCTATCCTGCCCTCGAAACAGAGTGATAGATTTGTTCGGAATCAACACAAAATGTTTTGGCAGTTCAACTGAGGAGAAAATGAAAGATTTTATTTTTAATACTCCTCGCATGAACATGTGTGAAAAATAAATAAATTAATAAAAACTTTTGATAAAGCCCAAAAAAACTCATAGACTGAAAAACAGAAACAAAACAACAACAACAACCAAACAGAAACAAAAGTGGACAATATACTGTAAATGTTTTAAAATATAAATGGCACCTATTTTTATAACACAACCCGGAGGAAGAGAGGTCCTTCCTACAATGGCCCATACGGAGAGGCTCCGCCCGAACAGGGAGGGTTACCGTTTTCATTCTTCAAGGATGAAAAAAAGGTAGGGATTTAATTAGTTGAGGTAGATGAAAGCGTGGGAAGATATGTTATTTTCGTCTGTAAAAAGGCTCAAGAGGGCTAACATGCATTTTATGTACTGTGAAAAAGTCGAGAAAACGTTCTGATGTTGTGATATATTCTTCCTTAAAGACAGTTTTAAGTACGGCAGAAAGGGTGCGTATAAATGGGTAAGGGGGCAGACCTCGGGACGGAGCCTCCCCGAATAAAACTTTGTTGAGTACGTATTCCCCGGGTATCACACAACTCTTTCGGAAATTAACCGTTCCAGTTTGGCGCATAATTCTTGAATTTACGTTCCAAAAAATTCAACTGGGGCGTGAAAAGTTTGGGAGCCGATATCAGTAGTGTGACCTTCCCAGAATTTTTACCTAGGTTTACCTAGGCAGATTTTTTGATGATTTTGCCCTAGGTAAACCAGTTTTACCTAGGTAAAAGTCTGTAGTGTGACCACAGCTAATGTTAAAATAAACAATGATATTATGAGCACGAACTTTCTAACAGCTATACTCAGTCACGTTGCTTGTCTATAAAGTGGGGGTCTACGTCACACTATTCGCTGTCTTTGAAAAGATAAAACTGATCAGTCAATTAAATACCAAAACAAAAATGGTCCAGTTTTTAAAATTTGCAACTCAGACTATATTTATTCAAGGGCACCCAACGTCAATTTTCGAAAATATCTGTTCGGAAGACGATTTGAGATTTAGATTTTCGGAACATTTG